CAATGTGATGAGTTTAATAGGTGGTTTCACAAGATGTGTACCCGGTTAATCTCCACTACATATAGAAGGTGCTCAAAGCCCAGCTCTCATTGGCTTTGCATGTTTTGTTGCTCAAGCAAAACATTTTTTATCCAGGAAGCAATTAGCCTCCTGGAGTCGGCTAATAAGAATGTTGACAAGGGCTTTACTGGTAACGTGGGTAATGATGGCGAAGATTGCGAAAGTGTCGTAAGTTCTGTCACAGCACAGAGCAACACATCATTGGATATTGGTGGCCAAGTTGCTACAGCAGCGACCTATGATCCAGACAAAGCAAATACCACCCCGAGTAGTTCTAATGTAGATGCTATGACTGACAAAAAATTTGATGACGCGGAAATGCAGAAGAGTAGAAAAGATAGCCAAAACGAACTTTCGTTTACTTGATAAGTCCCTGGTGGACTCACAGACTACGCCTCCGAAGTCCCAAAGTAAAGCCTCGTCAAACATTGTTATGAGCCACTAGCTCGACTCCCATGACTCTGTTATTATGAAAACTAACTGCGGGGTGCCAGTAGTTAATATGCAGGATCTAACGTCACCATCGAAAGCCATGAACACGATTTCAAAAGAAGTTGAAACCCTTCCTAGTTTATTTATTTGGAATCTAGAGGAGTCTAAAGACAATGACCCCGCTAAAAGACATGCACACGATCTGCAGTTGGAAATGTACTACCTGATGAGGTTTCGGGGGTACACATCACAAAAGTAATACGACTCGGTAAATGGGTTGGAGGCGAGACGCAACCAAGAAGGATATTGAAGTTGGTTCCCCGGAATTTAGAAGAAAGGTGTATAATATTGAATAAGGCACAAAAAACTCTTCATTCAAACGTTCGCATCCGACCAGACTGGCCGCTTGAAGGTCGAGTCAAGTAGAAGAATAATCTTACAGAGTTAAGAACTCGAAAGTTAAATGGCGAAACTAACTTTATCACTGAAGGTTTTGAGTAGTCAGATCTTGGAAGCCAAAGTTTTCGAGCCATGTTTGATGGTGGACGAATCAAGTCTCGATATAATTGCTGTCACAGAAACTTGGTTTGCCGTAGATATAGACTGTTCTCCCATCATTGCAGGCTATATCTGTATTAGAAGTGATAGAGTTTTAGGTCGCAAGGGGGAGACATAATGTTATGCGTTAAGGATCACTTTCGTATACGATCAATCATATTGGAGGCGCATGTTAGTGGTAAATGTGAGGTAGCGCGTTGTAAAATTCAATCTAGAAGTGGGTTAGTGACTATAGGAGGAATATACCTTAGTCCGTGTTGTTTCGCTGACGACTTCATCTTAAGACACGTCTGTCCTTAGAGTATGGCAGAATGTTGCCTCATCATTGAGGACTTCAACGCACCGCTTATCAACTGGATAGAACTTACAGTTCTAGATGGTGGTTTCGATAGCGACCTTTTATCAACCATTATTCAGTGTGCACTTGTGCAATGTATCGCAAAACCGACACATATTGACTTGAAACGTGACCTGTCATTACTGGAACTTGCCATCACCCACCATTGTGAGGATTTCATGGACATTCGCCACTTTCCTTCAGCAGTGAATAGTGACCACGTTGTACTTTACTTTAAGTTTCGGACACATGGTATACAATTGGTATCTGCTCCACCCCGTCCCAACATCTGGCGAGTTAATATTCCGGCAATCAGAGACTGTGCTATGTCGACTGACTGGTCGGTTGACGTGGATGGGTCAATAGAAGACGAGCGGGATAAGTCTAAGGTTACAGTGGAGTCCATAACATCACTGTTTATCCTATGATCAACACGTAAGCTATCACACTGCCTCCATGAATTAATAAAAAACTGGAAGCTGTTGAAGAGTAGGAAATACTATTGGAACTTATTCTTGTCGACAGGACACGCATCACTTAAGTGTGGATATAAAAAAAATCCGGAATATATGTAAAAGAGATCACACATAAATCCCATACTTTTTACGAGTGACAGTTGGCATAAGATAGCTGTAATCGTCTGAAACGATTGTTTTCATATGATAAATGAGGGTAAAACGTAGTGATGGTACTCTTCTGTACTGTTACACGCAAATTTAGATTTACTAGCGGAATCAGATCGGGCAAAGGCTGAGACTTTTTCAAACTATTTTAATGAACTCTACTCTACGTGTATTGTTACAAATACTTGTCCCAAACACATCGAGATACCAAGCATAGGATGTGTACATGTGATTGAGGAAACTGTCCTTCCATCGATAACTAACACCACATCTTGTAAATTACCGGGCCTTGACGAGCTACATACACAACTGTTGCCATTTCTTGCCGACATTCTTTCAAGACCACTCGCGATGCCCTTCAACATGTCTCTCACTCTCTCAACTCTCTAGAGATTGGAAAGACGCTATAGTCTGTCCTATATTTAAGGATGGTCAGAGACAGATCATATCTAACTACCGGCCTGTCAGACTAACGTGTATAGTCTTTGGGTTACTGGAAAAGATAATTAGGGTTAGGTTGCTGAGTCACGTAGATTCACACAATCTGTTAACTCACGAGTAACATAAGTTTCGTAACAAGCGTTCACGCTTGACTAACTTATTGCGAGAGAGGATTAGACAGCAGCAGCCGATGTGATATTCATATATTTTAGCAAAGCATTTGATAAGGTTTCATACTCATATCTTATGCAGAAGCTCTCGGAATAATAGGTACTGTACAGCAGTGGATGGGAAACGTTTTATGTGACCGCAGACAGAGACTACAGGTCAGTGGAACGCTACCCCATTGCAAGCCGGTCAAGAGTGGTATACCCCAAGGCACCATCTTAAGCCCTTAACTTTTACTCCTTTATGTTAATAAATTACCGCTGTTGCTTAAGTCGTCGGCATTATTGTTTTCGGATGATGTCAAAATCTGGAGAACAATAAGAAGTGAGGCTGATCATTTTGATCTCCAAGCTGACTTAGACGAATTAGTTAGGTGGGCTTGAGGTTGGGGCTTAGAAATTAATTCTAGGAAGAGTGTGCTCATGCAAATCAGACACGATAACAGTTACCATTATACTATTGATGGTAAACCTCTTCCATGCGTTCAAGAACATAAAGACTTAGGAGTAATAGTAAGTCATGACGTGAAACGTAGTGATAGTATTCCCCCATTATTGTTACACGATAATTCAGGTTTACTAGCTGAATCAGATCGAGCAAAAGCTGAGACATTTTCAAACTACTTTAGCGAAGTCTACTCTACGTTTATTGTAACAAATACTTGTCCCAATTACGCCGCGATACCAGCCATTGAATCTATACAGGTGACTAAAGAAACTGTCCTTCCGTTGATAATTAACCTCAAACCTTGTAAGATACCGGGTTCTGACGGGTTACATCCACGATTGCTGTCATCTCTTGCAGACATTATTTCAAAACCGCTCGCGACACTCTTTAACATGTCCCTTTCACTCGCTCAACTACCTAGGGATTGGAAAGATGCTATTGTCAGTCCTATATTTAAGGATGGTCAGAGACACATCGTATCTAACTACTGACCTGTCAGTCTGACTAGCATTGTCGTTAAGTTACTTGAAAAGATAATTCGGGTTAGGTTGCTGAGCCACATAGATTCACATAATCTGTTAGCTCCTGAGCAACATGGATTTCGTGATAAGCGTTCATGCTTGACTAACTTACTTATTGCGAGAGAGGATTGGACAGCAGCCTTAGATAAAGGCCTGTCTGTCGATGTTATATTCATAGATTTTAGCAAAGCATTTGACAAGGTTTCACACTCAGGTCTTATGCAGAAGCTCACAAGCTTCGGAATAATAGGTACTGTACAGGAGTGGATAGGAAACTTCTTACGTGACGGCAGACAGAGAGTGAGGGTCAATGGGACGCTATCCGATTGGAAGCCGGTCAAAAGTGGTGTACCCCAAGGCACCATATTAGGCCCTCTGCTATTCCTTCTCTACGTAAATGAATTACCGCTGTTGCTTAGGTCGTCGGCATTATTATTTGCGGATGATGTCAAAATATGGAGAGCAATAAGAGGTGAGGCTGATCATCTGGATCTTCAATCTGACTTAGACGATTTAGTTAGATGGGCTCGAGATTGGGGTTTAGAAATCAATTCTAGGAAGAGTGTGCTAATGCACATCGGTCACGGCAATAATTACCATTATACTATTGATGGTAAACCTCTTCCATGCGTTCAAGAACATAAAGACTTAGGAGTAATAATAAGTCATGATTTAAAAACAACTGCGCACTGCAACGCAGCCGCTGTCAAAGGTTTTCGTGCGTTATGGTCACTTCGCCGAGCGTTCAAATCCTTTGACGAGGAAATGTTTCGAATTTTATATCCCACCTATGTAAGACCACATTTAGAGTACTGTATCCAAGCAGCTAGCCCATGTCTGGTAAACGATACTAACTCACTTGAGCGTGTCCAGCGTGTGGGAACGAAATTAGTGGAGGGTCTTTCTAAACTCCCTTACGATGAGCGTTTAAAACGCCTAAACCTTTTCCCCTTGTCGTATCGTAGGACTCGAGGTGACCTTATACTGGCATTTCGTATCTTTAATTATGATTTGGGTGTTAATATGTCTTATCTTTTTGCTCCCTCCAGCACTAATAATCTCCGAGGTTATAGCAAGAAGGTTCATAAACCACGATCTAATAAACTCAAGGTGGGGTTCCGTTTTTCTCATCGAGTAGTCAATGATTGGAACGCTTTGCCCGATCAAGTGGTATCAGCCCCATCAGTGAATATTTTCAAAGAGAAACTGGACCTTCACTGGAAGCCAACCTGTTAGGATTAACACAGGTTCACTAACCTACTATCCTTATTACTGAAGACTGAAGACTGAAAACAACCAAGCATTGCAACGCAGCTGCCGTCAAAGGTTTTCGTGAGTTATAGTCACTTCGCCGAGCATTCAAGTGCTTTGACGAGGAAATGTTTCGAATTTTATATCCCACCTATGTAAGACCACATTTAGAGAAACGGCGGGTAATTTCGAGTGGATTGTCCCGGAGGTTTGTCGCAAACGGAACGTCTGCGCACGCCGTCTGTGTTTTTTTATATTCTTCGATGGGCTGAATATTTACCAGACCAAAGTTTCCACAATGCCTAGACATCGTCTAAGTTGTCTGTTTCCCAATCTCCCAAGTTTGGGGAAACCCCCAAAGTCAGATGACCTTCACCAAGGTTTAGGGGAAATACCCGGGAATTTCCTCAGATCTGGGGAAATTTTGGGGGGTTGATTCCATTTCCCCAAAAATTTCTATAGCGACTTCACCAAAATTGGGAGATTGGGTTTGTGCGGTGAAAATACCTCAATCTCCAGTAGTAAAGATAAGAGGTCTATCGACCTATAGTAATCCTTTCAATTTGTAACAATGTAGCGGTCTAGATTCAGATTTGTGTAGTAAGGACAGAGGGCCAACGGCCTATGTTATTACTTTTCTGGTATGTTTCTGTTAGTGTTCAGTCTTCTCTTGAATGAGCCAATTGAAGGTGCGAACACCACTGCTTCGGGTAACAGCTTCCAAGTATTAAAGACTCGGTGTGAAAACCTGTATGCCACGGGTATTTTGTTCGTTCTTGGCCTTTCTGCTTGCCTGCTATGTCCTCTGAGATGTGTCGATCTGGTGAGAAGAAAAAGAGAGAATATATTAGGTCCAAAATCATTTCTCAGTATTCTGTTCAGCTTTTCCAGCCGCTCTTTGTGTGGCAAACCCCGGAGTTCTGAAATTGCACAGGTAGCTACCCTCTACTTTTCCCAGGATATCCGAGTCACCTTTTAAACAGGGGCTTACAGCCTGATCAGTCCTAGACGGAAGGAAAAGATAATACATATTATTGCCAAGGTCATCGCTCAGTATGCGGTAAGCCATTATTAGATCTATCCATAATCAGCGGTACGATAACGAAAATAAGTTGAGGTGTCTCGGTCTGTCTCCATAAGATAGGCTAGAGAGACCTCTTGCCATTATGGTCCCTCGTCGTTGGACTCGTTCCAGCATGTCCGCCTCATTCTTGAAGCAGACTCGCTGCCTGATCCACGAGGCAATGAAGCACCGTGAGGAGATGCAGTTTCATGGTAACCGGTGACTAATAATTGGTTCACACGCCATTTGTTCCTTCAGGACCCTGCGGTCTATGTTCACCATTTTTTGGAATCAGGGTTTTCCAACTCCCCTGGGTGAATCATCCATATCCGTCAACCCGACTAAAGCTCTGGACATTCGCTTTTTGCCCTTTCAATTTCGTAAACAACACCCCTGACGCGAGAAGGCAGTGAATTAGACTTCACTAGCAGCGACTATACGCGTCACCATGTGAGAACATCTCGAGAGGGAGAGCTGAATTTCCCCGCCCTCTGCCGTACCAGGGCATTTGGGGGCGCAAATTCAGACTTAATTTTAGCGGTTTTAAGATGCTATGTAATAATGACAACAAGTAGACTCAGCTTGCTTTCACCAGTATCTATCATTATTACAGATTTAAAATTGCTTGATTGATATAATCCCTGGTTTAGTACGAAGTTATTATTTATTGAGTGCATTCAATTTAGAAGAGGCAAAATATTGTCAATAAATATTGGGTTGTTTCACGTCTGCAAATGTTTCATTCGGTGTATTAACGAAAGGTTTCGATAAACAACACATGGTAATGCGTAGCTTAAAAGTAACCTGGAAAATTAATATTTCTGGTTCACAAGTCTCATCTGGAAACTTTTATGTCAAAGTTATCAAGTTTGGTGTGTGCGCTTCTATTGTACAGAAGGCTTTAATAGATAGATAAAACAGACAGTCCGTTATGTACACGACTCTTGTGTTTTGGTTTTTATTATCATTTAGACAAGATTCTTCCCATTTAATTTCAGGGTTAATCAAACTTACTCCTCATGAATTTAATACCCCAGATCTCTAAGTTTCCACCAAATTGGTTGTTGATATAACTATCATCATTTGTCCTGATCGAACGAGTCATTAATAATACACTGTTCGGATGACTTTGTGTATTCTATAGTAAAAGTGACTCGTGAAGAAGTAGGAGAAAATCTGATACAACTTAACTAGATGTTGCATAAACATCTCAGTCATGCACTCTGACCGAAGACATACTTACTTACTTACGCCTGTTACTCCTCGTGAAGGAGCATAGGCCGCTCACCAGCATTCTCCATCCAACCCAGTCCTGGGCAATCCTTTCAAGCTCTTTCCAGTTCTTATTCATCTTTTTCATATCTGCTTCTATTTCCCGACGTAATGTGTTCTTTGGCCTTCCTCTTTTCCGCTTCCCTTCAGGATTCCAAGTTAGCGCTTGTCTCGTAATGCAGTTTGATGATTTACGTAATGTATGTCCTATCCATTTCCATCGTCTTTTCCTAATTTCCTCTTCAGCTGGAAGCTGGTTGGTTCTCTCCCACAGAAGGCTGTTGCTGATGGTATCCGGCGAATGGATGTTGAGTATCATGCGTAGACAGCTATTAATAAATACCTGTACCTTCTTGATGGTGGTTGTTGTAGTTCTCCAAGTTTCAGCTCCGTACAGTAGAACTGCCTTGACGTTCGTATTGAAGATTCTGACTTTGATATTGGTTGAAAGTTGTTTTGAGTTCCATATGTTCTTCAGTTGAAGGAATGCCGCTCTAGCTTTGCCAATCCTCGCCTTGATGTCTGCATCTGAACCTCCTTGTTTATCGAAGATGCTTCCCAGGTATGTGAAGAATTCCACGTCTTCCAGAGTTTCGCCATCAAGAGTAATTGGATTGCTGTTCTCCGTGTTGTGTTTGAGGACCTTGGTTTTCCCTTTGTGTATGTTGAGGCCTACTGATGCAGAGACTGATGCTATGCTGGCTGTCTTTATCTGCATTTTTTCGTGTGTATGTGATAGGAGGGCTAGGTCATCTGCGAAGTCCAAGTCGTCTAATTGGTTCTGAGCTGTCCATCGTATGCCGTGGTTTCCCTCAGATGTCGAGGTCTTCATAATCCAGTCGACCACCAGAAGAAAGAGGAAGGGAGAGAGTAGACAGCCTTGTCTTACTCCGGTCCTTACTTGGAATGCGTCTGTCAGCTGTCCTCCGTGCACTACTTTGCACTGTAGTCCATCGTATGAGTTCCGGATAATGTTGACAATCTTCTCAGGAACTCCGTAGTGTCGAAGAAGTTTCCATAACGTCATCCTATCTACACTGTCAAATGCCTTCTCATCATCAATGAAGTTGATGTAGAGTGACGAGTTCCACTCAATTGATTGTTCGACGATGATCCGTGGTGTCGCAATCTGGTCTGTGCACGACCGATCCTTACGGAATCCAGCTTGTTGATCTCGAAGTTGAGCGTCAACTGCGTCTTTCATCCTGTTCAGTAACACTCTGTTGAAGACTTTACCCGGTATTGACAGTAGTGTGATGCCTCTGTAGTTTTCACACTTGCTCAGATCTCCTTTCTTTGGAATCTTGATGAGGTGTCCTTCTTTCCAATCCATCGTCACTTGTTCCTCCTCCCAAATCTTCTTGAATAGAAGATGAAGCATGCTTGTAGTTACTTCGATGTCTGACTTCAACGCTTCAGCTGGTATATTGTCAGGTCCTGCTGCTTTCCCGCTCTTGATTTGTCTGACGGCCATTCTGATTTCTTCTGTCGTTGGTGGATTGACATTTATAGGAAGATCTGTATGTGCTGCTTCGATGTCCGGTGGATTCATTGGAGCCGGCCTGTTCAGGAGTTCCTCGAAGTACTCTGCCCATCTGTTGCGCTATTGTTGAATCTCAGTGATTGGTCTTCCTTCTTTGTCTTTGACTGGTCTCTCTGGTTTACTGTATTTCCCTGCAAGCTTCTTCGTCGTATCGTAAAGCTGTTTCATATTTCCTTCTCTTGCAGCTTTTTCCGCCGTCGTTGCTAGTTCTTCCACGTGTTTTTGCTTATCAGCTCTAATGCTCTTCTTCATTTTCTTGTTTGCTTCTATGTACTCTGCTTGTGCTTGGACTTTCTCTGCTCTTGTTCGACTGTTGTTAATTGCTGTCTTTTTGTTCTTTCTTTCTTTGATCCTGTCTAGTGTTTCTGTAGAGATCCATTCCTTGTGATGATGCTTCTTGGGGCCCAGAACCTCTTGACACGTTGAAGTTAATGTTTCTTTGATACCTTTCCAGCTATCCTCCATAGTAGTTTCTTCTTCCTTCAGTAGATCCTGTAAGGCTTGGAACCTGTTGTTGAGAGCTACCTTGAATTCATTGAGTTTGTCAGTATCTCGAAGGAAGGCTGTATTGAACCTTTGTGGTGATGTTTGTCCAGTTGTCCAGTGTTTTTTAGATTCAGTTTCACTTTGGCCACAACCAGGTGATGATCTGAAGCTATGTCCGCTCCTCTCCTGGTTTTCACATCTTCCATTGTCCTTCAGAACTTTTTATTGATGCAAATGTGATCTATCTGGTTCTCTGTGGTGTGGTCCGGTGAGATCCACGTAGCTTTGTGTATACGTTTGTGTGGAAATGTTGTACCGCCTATGACCAATTTATTGAATGCACACAGATTTACAAATCTTTCCCCGTTTTCGTTACTCTCCCAGTCCATGTAGTCCCATGATGTCTTCATATCCGGTGTTGTCCATTCCGACTTTGGCGTTTAGATCTCCCATCAGAATGGTGAGGTCCTTTCTTGGGCACTACTCTATGATTGATTGCAGCCTCTCATAGAATTGATCTTTAACGTCGTCGTTGCTATCATTGGTGGGTGCATAACATTGGATAATGTTCATTGTGATCCCCTCCTTCTTTGTTTTGAATGATGCTTTGATGATTCTGGATCCGTGAGATTCCCATCCTACAAGTGCATTTCGTGCTACTTTGGATAGCATTAGAGCAACTCCCTGAGTATGTGGAGCATTTTCCTCTTCGTGACCGGAGTATAGCAGCATCTCTCCCGTATTTAGCCTTTGTTGTCCAGCTTGGGTCCAATGGGTTTCACTGATTCCGAGTACTGCCAAGTTGTATCTCCTCATTTCCGTTTCTATTTGACTGGTCTTCCCGTTCTCCCACATTGTCCGGACGTTCCATGTACCTATAAAAATTGTTGCTCTGGTTGTTAGAAGGGGCATCGGCCTCATGGCTTCCGAAGGAACTCGGCTTTCACCATGAAGCGTCATATTACCTCTAACTCCCAGTTCAGAGTTTAAATGGTTTGAGTTATTTTTTCTGGTTAGCGTTTTTTTAGCGAGTTAGGTTTCTACGGGATGGGGACGCTAACCCCATGCCCAACCCTCCTCCTTTACCCGGGCTTGGGACCGGCAGTAACTCTGGAAGAGCTACAGGCGGAGTTGACCGAAGACATAATGAACACAAATGTTTGATCCACTATTTATCAGCTATATGTAGGATTACTGGTGAAGCGATGTTTTATAAAGACATTCATAAAAACTACTTGTTTATAAAGTGACTAGTAAACTTGTTTAAATTTTTTCTTGCAACCAAAAGTATAATCGTAAAGAGTGCACACATTTCTACAGATTAATTCAACTAAACAACCATTGTCGACTAAAATAAAAAAGGCTTGAACCACCCTTTCTAGACAGAAGTTAACGTAATATCTGGTTGGCTGAATCTGTAAGTATATTCGGATTCAAACTAGTGATAAATGAATCTCAAGTAAATAACCAAACTTCAGTGTTTTTCAATGTTTCTTGTGATTTAGATTTACAGATAACCGGATTTTTTCAAGTTCTTCAACTCAGTGCTTTAATCACTGCACCCTTACCATCTCTCAGTAGGTGTATCTTATCCTATCCTTAAAGGGATCACCTGTTATGTCAAACAAACGCAAATCAAACACAAAAGATGAATCATCTGATTCTTCCCTCTCAGATCTCGAGGAGGTATTTTTATGCATTATTTATTGTACTTTTAGCCTGTTGTAACTAAAAAACCTAACAAGTCAAGTGGCTCCACAAAGTCATCACGCACGACTACATCAGGTGGAGACCAGCTAATAGACTTAACTGGGAAAAAGTTCGCGTGCGTAAGAGAGTTCAGAGGAAAAGCGTTTGTCGATATAAGGGAGTACTATGAAGACAAATCCAGTGGAGAATTAAAACCTGGAAAGAAAGGTAAGCGAACTCGTCCTACCAATTATAGAAATGCAATGTATGTGTGGGTAAACACATGTAACAAAAGTAAAGTTAACAGTAAATTCAGCAGATCGATACGTTCACTTTGCTTTTTATAAATATCAGATTTTGTTACGTATGAGGCTATTACAATATGTAATTGCTTAACTTAATGCAGTATAATGAAATTATCAATTCGTGATCTCAGTCAGTCATATGAAACTTGCAACCTGACACATTTGCGTCAGTTCAAGTTGGCACAGCACAGCTGGTGGTCTGAGTCCTGTAGAAAAGTGCTGACTCCCTGCTTACGGTCCAATTGATGGTGGAAGACGATGTGATATGGCAGTTGAGGTCTAGGGATACTTATTTCAGTTCGTACATCGGTTATGACTGACTAATATGGTTCAAAGTTGGTCTCACCAGGAAATAACTCATTTATTAAGTGCTGGTTTATATATCCTTCGTTAAACCACCCCTTGTCTGATAACTAATGATGAAAGACGGGTACCTAAACTGTTGTAGGTGAGATGAGATTCAAACATATAACTTATGGACCTTAAGTTGACTCACATTTATTTATTTATTTATTTATTTGAACACATAAATATTGGTACAAGGGGGCACCAAATATATATGCGCCACACAAAACAATGATAATTTGAAGAGAAGGAGAAAAGAGAAAAAAAAGTAATGAACGTGGGGAATTATAGATAAATAAAAGAAAAGAGAGAGAGAACAATGATGGGGAAAACGGAAAGGTACAATCAGAAGAAATCCTTCAGTTAATGAAGATACAACCACTTTTTATGAAGAAAGTAAAAGAAGGTTACAGCAGGATCGCCACTGGCTTCTATTCTGAGCCATATCTCATAACGTCTCTAGCCACTGCGTTACACCGTCTTTCGGACCCCAACCAGGGAGTCGTGAAGGACTAACAGAAGCTAGCCCTTTGCAGCTTTCTCTCATGCCACGACACCATGTCATATACTGACCACCTCTCCGCTTTTTCCAACCAGTCCCAGAGTCGGCAAATAATGCACGATGAGGAATTCTCTGGGACGACATTCGTAGAACATGTCCAAGCCACCGAAGTCGGTGTTTCAAGATGGTGACACCAATGGAATTATCGTCTCTGTGACCGAACACTCGATGCCGAACCTCTGCATTACTAACATGGTGTTGCCACTCGGTGTCAGCAATCCTTCGGAGACAGCGGTGATCGAACACAGAGAGTCGTCTAACATCCTCAACTCGGAGAGGCCAGGTTTCACAAGCATAGATAAAAACTGCTCTCACCGTCGCGTTGTAGATCCGACCTTTTACAGCCAGACTAACATCACGAAGGCGCCAAAGATGACCCAGATTGGCATAAGCCGCTCTGGCTTTCACTATACGAGCATTGATCTCATCACTCACACCACCACCAGCACTTATGCAGCTACCTAGATACACGAACTTCTCGACTACTTCTATCGGCTCACCATCCAGAGTGAGTACAGGATTAGAATCCTGCCAGTCTTGTAGAAGTACTTTGCACTTCGAAGGTGCAAAGCACATACCATACCTACGGACATTGATTGCCAACTGATTAAGTGCGGATTGCATAGCTTGAACATTCTCGCACAGTAAGACAATATCATCCGCATACTCAAAGTCGAGAAGTCTTTCTCCAGGCAACAGATCCACACCACCATTACTTACATCCGTCAGAGCTGTTTCCAGAATGTCATCGATGGCAAAGTTGAAGAGGAATAGTGAGATTGGGCAACCCTGCCTAACCCCTCTGCTCGAATGGAATAGTGGAGAAAGGTGGTTGTATGCCCTCACTCTGCCTGAGGTATTTGTGTATAGGGCTTTTAGGATGTTAATAAACTTCTCAGGCACACCCTTCTTCAATAGACAATCCCAGAGAACAGTTCTGTCCAACGAATCGAAGGCAGCCCTGATATCAAGAAACACTACGATTGTTGGCCTTTGATAAGTATGGCGGTGTTCTAACACTTGGCGGAGGGTGAAGATATGATCAATACATCCTCGACCGGAACGAAACCCAGCCTGCTCCTCGCGAGTCAATCCTTCTCGGGTTCTGAACAACCTACGAAGTATGACGGAAGCCAATAGCTTGGACGCAATCGGAAGTAGACTTATCCCCCGATAGTTGTTACAGGAACAACGTGAACCCTTTTTAAAGATAGGGACAACTATCGACTCATTCCATGACGTTGGTACACTCTCTAGTTCCCAGACCTTTGCAAACAACGTCGTCAGTCCCTTAGTCAGAAAGTCACTACCATCTTTAAAAAGAGCCGGAGGTAAGTCGTCTGGGCCCGGCGATTTGTAACGTTTCAAGAGTTGGAGTTCCTTGCGGACTTCCGCCTCATTTGGTGGATCAGTCGTCACCGGCCATGGAGGGCAGGACAGTCTGACCGACGTTGCCGGAGCAGCAGGCCAGTTGAACTGCCCTTCAAAGAATTCTGCCCATCGTCCAAGACGTCGATGGATGTTAGTGATTGGCGTTCCGTCATCCTCGCAGATTGTTTCGCTCACACCAGACTTCTTGCTGCCAGTGGGTCGGATGAGTTGGAAGAGCTTCCGGTAATTACCAGATGCAGCTGCTGCTTCCAACTCACTGGCACGCTCCGACCACCAGGCTTCTCGGTCCTTACGCAAGCTTTGCCCGATTTCATTACGTAACATCCTTCGTCTGTGGTCAAACTCACGGTCACCCGGAGTAGACCGACGGGCTTCAATCAGTTGTAAGAAACCAGAAGAAACCCAGTGCTTGTAAGCGGGACGTTTCGCAAACCCACAACAGACTGTACCCGCCATTTTCATGGCGTCATGCAATTGCAACCAATGCTCATCTATACTTTTCGGTGGAATGGTGGCTAGCCTAGAAGCTAGCTCGGTTCGGTACTTACTAGCAACAGAAGTTGCAGCCAGCTTGCTAACATCAATCCTGTGGTGGCGGTCACTTCGTTGTCCACTGAAAAGTAAGGTAAGATTGGCGCGGACCAGAGCATGATCAGATTCCAGATAGGTACTCCAAAATGAGCGGCAGTCTTGTACACAACCGCGCCAGCGGTAGCTGATCGCGATGTGATCAATCTGAGTCCAGGCTTGAGATGCAGAAGGAGGACGCCAGGTGGCACATCGGCGATGACTGTGCCGAAAGTTAGTGCTAGCCAGAAACAGGTTGTGGTCTGTGCATAGTTGCAGTAGACGTTCCCCGTTACCTGTCCTGCGACCAACGAGTCCCCACCGGCCACCTAAACGACTCTCTTCTGTGCCTAGACGCCCGACCTGAGCATTCAAGTCTCCAGCTAGTACTACAATATCTGTCGAACGCACTTTCTGGAGAAGAACAGTTAGCTGGTGGTAGAACTCGTCCTTGATTGCATCCGGGCTGCAATCTGTCGGAGCATAGGCGGAGATGACGAAAAGACATCGTTTCTCACGCCGATTTCTTCTCACTTTGATGGAACTTTCTAATCTAACAGCACATAACCAACCGACTATTAATGGGGATCCAGTCGACTAGTGCTGCCTCAGCTCTTGCGCTTAGTGCGACACCAACGCCAGCAAGACCAGACGAAGATGCCACAGGGTCCCCGGATAAACGCACATAAAACAAGCTTTTTGAAGCGACAGATGGAGAGCGAACTTGTAGTACTTCACCAGAGTCTTGAATACGGGTCTCGGATAGACAACACACATCAATATTAAGACTTTCCAAAGACATAGCCAGCCCTATCTGTTGTCCGACCTGCATAAGTGTGCGAACGTTGAAGGCAGCCAGTTTGAATGGTGCACGTGGTTTCAGAAAAACTGCTTCAGTACTCATATTCGGTGGTAACATACAATTTTCAACCAGGCAGTGACTCGAGTACGTTTAGATAAAGCTGAATTTTCACCATAGGTGAGCTGCTGTCTAGGTCGAAATGGATACATAAAGTAGGAATAAGAGAGGGTGAATAAATGACGTGGTAGAGTAATAATAATAATAGTACGAGTTATTTCAGTGTTAATCAGATAGAAAGGAATATTTTCCATAAGCAAATTGTTCATCATCATGGTTTTAGTGCGTGGGCTGAGATACTACCCGGGTGCCCAAACCGAAGCAGGTGGTTTTCTTAGGGGGCCACACCCCGAGCCTTTGACCCAAGGGTCTAGTCCACAAGGCAATGGAGCATCGTGAGGAGATGCGGTCCCATGGAAGCCGGTGACCAAAAGTTGGTTCATACGCCATTTGTTCCTTCAGGATACTGGAGCCCATGTGCACCATAGAATTGGGATCCGGTTATAGCGCCGGACGTTCGCTTTTCGTCCTCTCATTTTCGTAAACAACACCCCCGCCACGAGAAAGCAGTGAGTAGGACCTCCCTGGCAGAGGCTGTATACGCGTGGCCGTTTGAGAGTATTTTGAGAGGGAGGGCGAACCCTCCCCGCTCTCGGCCATACCAGGGCATTTGGGGGCAAAAAACTCACATCTTGCAGACCCAAGTCTGTTATAACAAATTTAGATCAGGTAACTAGATGTTAGCCTTTAAAGAACATTCTCATTGTCGAGTACGTAGAATTGTTCTTGTTAAATTAATTGTGTGATTACTTATTTATCATGTACCCTTAAATTTTGTTCATAGGAATTTCCCTTAACTTGGAACAATGGGAATATTTAAAAAGTTCAATTGGTGAATTAGATGATGAAATAAGAAATCTGCGACGATAACTTTTCAAAAAATCACAGCTTCAAGATGTTTATATAGCCGTATTTTTGATACATTCCCGATCAGCTTAATAGTAATAACCGTCGCTTTGTGAAAATTTGCCAGAAAAATCCTTTTATTAAATTTAAAGATTGCATTTCGTTACATTTTATTAGAAAATACAATTTATGGAGTCCTGTTTTTTCAACTTGATTGCTTTTGTGAGATTAATCAATGCAGGCTGCAGTTCTTTTATTGTAAATATATTCGACTTGTCACTCGCATATCGTGAAACGAACAAATGAGCAATGTTGAGATGAAGGCGGTTAACCTGTTCATTCATCTGTAAATTTTCACCGACTGAGATGGTTGGGATATGTTCTATGGATGTCTAACTACCTCCTACCTCGACGAACCATGCTTTCTAGTGTAGCAGGAGGTTGGAAAGCTAGGAAAAACGGAAAGAAGTCCTTGATCGTCTATCTAAGACGTGTTGGTAATCCCAGACTACCAGGTTGGGATCTGTATAATATACGCGATCAGTGTTTGAAGACGTTGGGAGAGACAGGTCATGATCACTGAAAACGGTGCCCTCCATTTTTCTGTCAATCTTCAATTCCAGCACTCCATATATATATTCCCACTGTGTTTTTGATCCATTCAATTTTTAGTCTCATTAAAATTATTACGACATTGCTTTGATCTCGTGCTATTGTAACGTGGCAACCTGAGCCAACACACGTTTGTGCCAAGCTCTATACTGATGATAAGGAAGGGTATATGAAATTCTTAGTTATCCCCAAACTAACAATCGGAGGTATGAGAAAATCCAACAATTTATATAATCAAACATGTTACTGAACAGTGATTACGAGGCCAACACTGAGAACTACATGAAAGGTTGTCGGAAGTTTTAGCTATCGAAGGGGACTAATGATAACGGCAAAGTGCCCACCAACTACATTCCTACGGAAAACATCTCTTGGTAAGGATTAATTAAGATCAAAATGAAGATCGTTGCAGCCTCCCTTACAAACATTAATGCGGTATAGTTTACTAGCCTAAGCGTCGTTAGCACTTGGAAGGCTGACACACATCACAGAAAGCTAGTTGTAAGCCGGTAGAGGTAAGCTAACTCCCTACTACGAACGACTTATGATTACACCTAAATGATAATTCTCATGCTTGGCTACACCTAGTGGAACTCGGTCATTTTTTGTACTAGAATAAACTCGACATTGTCTTTTAGCCTATTTAACCCTACGCTAACGTATTGTGACTTCCATGTCTAGTGTTTTTCGTCAGATTTCTGCGTAATTGTCCCATGTTTTTAATTTGATGTTGAGAAATTCAACTTTTCCGATAGCTGGATATTTCGAAAATGGTATAAACAGAACCTAATTCAAACACTTCTGTGGGTCATTACATTGAAACTGGAAGAGTAACTTGAAGAAAATTGTTTACTGTTGGGGTATTCAGAAAATACCCCAGAAATTATCTAATGCTATTCCTGAATGAGAAGTAGTGTCATTTCCCCATTGGTCAACATTCTTCCAACGTGTCATCTCCTTATTGGTCAATATTTATTTGTGTCATTTCCTGAAGGTTAAATTTTGTACAAATGTTACTTTCTGTTTTATGGTACGATGTAGTCTGTTTGTTTGGTATATAAACAGTGTATGTTTGAAAAATAACGATTCATATCTCCGAGGCTGAGACTTGTGTTCTGGACTCAATTGGCTGGGCCTAGACAGGGAAGCAGGACCAGTCAGAGCTCTAGGCTTCTCGGTCGTATTTTGTGCGTCACTGATTCGATCGATAATAGGCGGATCACACGTTATAACATTTACTTTTAGTACGTCTTGTATATATTTGCATTGAGATAATTCATTATTCCTTTCAGGATACAATATAATACTTTCAGCACATATAATGGATTAGATGCATAAGTATTGTTGACCGTTTCACGTCACTCCGTGTTATCAGCTACAAGACACGATTCTCAACATTACCCGTCAACTTCCTCTTCTATCCCACTTTAAGTACCAGTTGCACTCGCCTTCAGCTTCCCACATTCTCCAGTCGACCTGAATGGCAAGTTGAAATAAGTCCTCCAACTCCTTATAAAGTTGAAAAAGCTATAGGAAATCTGAAGCCTGGGAGAGAAGCAGGCCCTGACAGGTTTACCCCTGAGATTTTTAAGGATAGCGGTCCAGTATTAGCAGTGAGATTGGCTAAGACCTTAGGTAGAATCTGAGAACTGGATGTAATCTCATCTGACTGGTCTCAATCACTGATTGTGCCAGTCTATAAGAAAGGACAAAAATCCACTTGTGACAATCACAGAGGAATCAGTTTGACTAATATAGTGTCTAAAATATTAGCTTCAATAATACTTCGATGTCTAACCAGAGCAGATTGGAGAAAACCAGGCTGGTTTCTGGCCTGGACGTAGCTGTACAGACCAGATATTCACACCACGACAGGTCCTAGAACAAATGCAAAATGTTGCTTCAGGATTGGGTTGCGTCGACACCCGAACTAGTGATAGGGAGTGAAGTAGTTGAGCGTGTCGACCGCTCCACTTATCTTGGAAGTCTCATCAGCCCTTGTGGTCTGGTGTGTGACGAAGTCTCAGCATGGATACAGAAGGCTCGACTAGCTTTTGCCAACTTGCGTTATTTGTGGCGTAGGCGAGATATCCGTCTATCAACCGAAGGACGTGTTTACTGCGCAACAGTTCGTTCCGTCCTAGTTTATGGCAGTGAAACATGGCCGGTAAGAGTAGAGGATATTCACAGGCTACTAGTATTCGACCATAGGCGTCTTTGAAGCATTGCTCGTATATCCTGGGACCACCGAGTAAGTAATGCAGTTGTTAGGAAACATGTACTGGGTAAGGACGCAAATCGATCGATGTAGTAGTGAAGCTTCATCAGTTGAGATGGCTAGGACATGTGCTGCGCATGCCCGACCACCGACTGCCTCGGCGTGCGATGTTTTATGGTGTAGGATTAGGTTGGAAGAAAGTTAAGAGTGGCCAGACCAAAACATGGCAAAAATCCATGAAGTCACTGACAAGTGGACTGAGCCATGTTGGTTGGGGTCCGCGAGACGACAGCAACCGATGGTTAGAGACCTTGAATGACATGGCTCAAAATCGTTTGCAATGGCGCAGGTGCATCCACTCTTTGTGTTCTCCCAAATTCTAATCATCTGAATTCTACATGTCCTTTATTTTCTTTCCAAATTTATTCCACTGGATTATACTCCTTAAATA